AAATATCTTCTAGGGAAGCTAAGAAAATGGAAATTTCCAAACTGAGGTTGATACCCCAGCAAAAACAATTATCAAATGTCAGAGTCAGAAGTAACCTTAGAAATTATCCAGATCACTCCCCTTTTATATAACAACACCAAGGCATAGCAAAAGTATTCCTAGTAAGTTGAGAATGGGCTTCAAATTTTCAGATATGGGCCAAATGAGATCAATATTTGTACCATAATATATTTTAAAACATGCAAATTAAACTTAACAAATATAAGTACTTACGTTAAGAAGTAACTCATCTTTTGTTTTAAGAGGAAGACTCTTATTTTCTTTCTCCACTTGCAAATCATCTTCTCCATCTGACAGCACTGGAGGAAGTGATATACAAGAGGAAGATGATGAGGAAGATGATGACGAAGACGATGAGGAAGAGGATGAGCCTGAACTATCTGAATCTATTTCACTGTAGGGAAGAAAAAGTTAAAAACTTAGCCCAGAATTATAATGGTTTCAAAATAAGATTATTCCACTAGGAAATATCAACTTTACTACATGTTTACTATTGCTGTTCTAAATCAAAAGCTAGCATTTTGAAGCTGACTGTGGTACTGGGAAAGTAATCTCTAATCCACCAATGACATTTATAAAATTCCTGTTATAAGCCAGATCCTCTTAATACAATAGTCTCGTATATCATATGTCTGTCTGAGTATAACTAAGCATGTGATAAATCACTGACAAAAGAGAGCTCTGGGCATGGCACCTCTCTTAGTCACCAACAACCAAATCACTTAATTGCCAATAAAGCATTTCTCCTGTCTTCAGACAACTTGCTAACTCCTCAAAGTTACTAAGCATGTTGACCACTCTACTCTCTGAAAACTCCTTTCAACCTTGACTTTCACAGAAATTCCTGTTACCAGTAACCCTCAGTTCAGTTTAAGTTTTGTTTGCTGGCTCCTCCTTCCAAACCTTTTTATATGCTATTTTTGAAGGTTCCATCCTCAGTTACTTTCTCTCCTCTCTCTGTACTCTTTGTATGGATAACCTCATCCACTCCAATGATTTCAATCATTATCCATGTGCAGATAAACCCCTAAATCTTCAGCTTTGACATCTCTAAACTCCGCCCCTATCCCTGACTACATACTGGCCACTTTTGTATGAATGACCTACACACATCACACTGGCAACAAGTTAAAAACAAGAAGAAAAAAAGTGCATTCTCCTAACTGAATCTGCTTCTCTCCTTGAGTTTCTATTTTATTTCATTGTTTTGTTTTCAATCCAGTCACTATAGGTTGAAATCCTGGAATCATTTTGAGCTATTCTATTTTCACAATAATGATAAAATCCTATTTTCAGGTTGGTAAACATCAGTCCTATTCCACCTCTTCACCATATTTCCACTGCTACCTATTTCCACTATGACCCTATTTTAGGCCCTCATTTCTGAGAGGCTTTTCTGTAACAGTTACATAACTTTGATACCAATACTAGCCTCTCCTCACAACAATCACACATTCATTCCACTGCTATTAGTTTCATCTTCTCAGGACCTTCCATCCTAAATCAGTTCATGCTCTTCTTTTATACTTTTTTTAATTATGACTAGACATTAGATATAAGGGAATTATTAATTTTATGTGTGATAATTGTATTGTTTTAAGAGAAGGTTCTGTTGAGAATGCATGCTGAAATATTTAAAGTATTATATCATGATGTCTATAACTTTAAAATGGTTCAATTACATATATATGAAATCAATTGTTGTAAAATGTTAATAAGTGTTAAATCAAGGTGGTAGCTATATGGGTTTATACTAGTCTTTCTACTTTTTATATAGTACTTCCTCTGAAGCCACCCCCTATCCACCAAAAGTAGGTTTTATTTTCTTCCCTAGTTCCCACAGCACTTTTTTCAAACAGCCTACTAGAGTGGCTGGTATTACCTTGAAAATCATGTCTTCCCAGCTGGATTGTCAACAGCTTGAAACCAAAGACCACATATATGTATCGAAACATTGCCTAGCTAATACAGGCAAAAAGTTGTAACTCTTTTCACTTTTTCAAATATTTGGTACTTTCTGCCATCACCCACAGAGGTTCAGAAGTAGTGTCCTGACACTTAGTTGTCCACACTATTCTGACATGATATCCTGTCTGCTTTCAAAAACTGCCCCAAATCATCCACCACTTACTTCACTTTGCTAGTGAAATGAACTCTGAAATCCCACAAGATTATGCTGTAATTTCAATAATGCCAAGAAATCCAACCTTGTTTATAGTTGGCTCACTCCCATCCCCCAGTCTAATTCATACCTTCTCCCTCCCTCTCTACTCATCCTCTCCACTCCCACTCTGATGACTTCTCTGAAAAAACTCTCATCTCCTCCCACTGTTGTCTATCTTGTTCACCTGTTCGGTACTCCTCATAACACTCAAATATTTGGTAGACAATGTTCAGTGTGGCTTTGTAACATTTCACATGCTGTAGTCCTCTCCTGCCAGAGGTTTCAAATTTAAAAGACACAAAGGAAGAAAAGGCTCTCATAAAACATACGCAGAGTATAAATACTACTAAATAACACTGCTTAGCTAAGTTCATGAACACGTGTTTTCCACGTGTTTACAAATTAACATAGTTGTCAAGAACCAACTTTGAAACACATAAAATAATTCTTTTCCTGATCCTCAATTAAACTGCTTCAAAAAACAAGACCACACATTAAACTTAATGAAAGAAATTCAGACCTGACACAAAACTCAGTTATAACCACAAAGGTATATACCAACAGGAATAACGGAAATAATCTAAGATCCTCAGGTTTTCTATAGTATAACTAACAATGATACGATGCATACGTAGAACCTTTCAGAATACCAAATTTAGGAAAGCGGGAACTGGTAAGTAAGTTCATATTCACAAAGCGATCTGCGATGAAGGGCAGCAAGTAATGGGCGGTCCGAACTACACGTCAACACGCGTGCCATGACCATCAGCGACCTCCCCACCCTCCAGGACCCACGCGAGCAACCCTGGGCTCCTAGGCCCCGGTTCCCCCCGCTGCTCCGTGGCCCGTAGGCACCCGACCTGTCTGAGTCGGAATCCGAGTCCGAGGTCTCCAAGCAGTCCGGGGTAAGCGCCGGCTCTGCCGCGCCCGGGCCGGTGACGCAGTCCCCGCAAAGCGGCGGTTCTGTCTGCGGCTGCTGCGGCGCAGGGGTGCCGCCCGCCGTAGCACTCAGAGCAGGCTGCAGTGGCTGCTCCCCGGCAGGGTTAGCCTCCACAACCTGCCCAGTGTCCGGGGACCCTTCGCACAACTGTAGCGGTGGCCGGGGCCCAGGCGCAGGAGCAGAGCCCGGACATGGCACCGCTGGATCTTCGCCAACCCCAAGGCCGGTACCATTGAATTTCAGAGTTTCCAGCTGAGCGGCGGCGGCCTCCACTACCTCCATTGCGCCGCGCCAGAGACCGAGTCGGCCTCAGGGTCTAGGTCCTCGGACAAGCTTGGCTTTCTTGTCGAGGAATAAAACAACTTCAGCCGTTGCAGCGGCAAGCAGGCCTAACTTCCCGCGTTTCTCAGGTAACTACGCTAGGAGGGATCCGGAGACACGCCCCGCCGCTTACTCGGCGGCGCTTCCGGGAGAGCGTGTTACGTATGTGGCGCGACGGAGCGACGGCGCTCACCGGGGACTGGACGGACCTCTAGGACCTTTGGAAATCAGGACAGAGGAGCCCCTAAGGCCGTCGTTTCCCCTGCGTGGTCTCAACCGTGTCTCTATACGCAAGGCCAGAAGACCAGATTTCCTTATCGCTGCATCTAAGCCACTTCTGCTCGAAGCGCCGATGTGAAGCAGGGATTATAAAATAGGGGAGATGCCTGAAGAATGCGAGGTTCTGTACCTCAGAAACTTGAGCCAGGAAGTTTTGAAAAGACACTTCTAGTAACTTCATTAAAGTTAAATGAAGTTAGATTTATCGATCTATAGATAGATAGAAAGCACATTGACCATTCCTTTCAAAAAAAATAACTGCAACTATTCCATTTTTCTTGCCCTAAAGTACTCCCAAAATAGAGTAGTAACGGTGGATGGAATTTTGCTGCTTGTTGATGTTATGATAATGTCTGTAGCCTAGTTGACACTGCGTTATAGAAAGGGTGAGTGAGACTAAAATGTACTAATTTAACCTGAGAAACCATTAGTCTGAATTTTAAGGAGGACAAGAAAAAAGTTCTTGGGCCAGAGGAAGATATCAGGATTATCTGGTTTCCTATTAGATCTTCAATTTGATAATCATGGGTACCATTTATTAAGCACGTGTATGTTCCAAAGACTGTTAAATATTTCATAAATTACTCACTGGGAAGTTATTGTGTACCATACACAGTAGTAGACCTTCATAGAAATTCAAGGCAAGTGTAATACATTGTCTCTGATTTTTTAGGGAGCTTACAATCTAGTTGAAGTAAAAAAAGGCCAATGCCCAGGAGATAACTAGAAAGATATTTGAAATATGGAGTAGAAAATCCAAGTGCAGCAGCAAAGATAAGTTAATTAGGACTGGTGGGCTATATCATGGAAATCCTCAAAATGAAGCAGGAATTTAAACAAGATATTACTAATTCAGTGATTAAGTAGAGCTCAGAGTTTCCAGCTAAACAGACCTGTGTTCAAATGACAGCTATACCATTTCATTGTTGGTATAACCATGACCTTGAGCAGGTAACCTAACATACCTAAATCTCAATTTCCTTATCTGTAAAATAAAGATAAAAATACTATCTCATTTAGTTTATGTGAGCATTAAGTAAGGTTTTATACAGAAGAATGGCATGTCATACAGTGTGCAAAAATACTTTAAAAATGGAACAATGGGTGAATTCATGAATAAAATGGTATTTCATTGACAATGATCTTGCAGAAATATGCAGTATGGATTTGAGGAGGGAAGAAATTTGAGCCAGAATGACCCTCTAGCCAGCCAAAAGTTTGTTGCATTTTTCCAGGAATTAGGTGACAAAGGTCTGAACCAGGACTAGAATCAATGAAAGAGAGTAAAGGAAATCCCCAGAATCAGGAGATAAAGTACTCTGAATTTCTGACCAAGAAAACTAAAAAGTTGGTATTAGTAATAAAAATGGAGAAGATAGAAAGAGATAATAAGTATGTCAAGTTGAATTTAAAGAAAACCTAGATAGTCAATTGAAAATGCCAATAGGCATTTGAAGATAAGAGGCTGAAATTCCACAGAAAAGTTAAGACCAGAGCATGAATTTAGGGATAATCCAAATTTCTATTCATTCATTCAGTAATCATTTACATAATATTACTATGCACTATGCACTGCAATATGAACCATGCATACAGGAAAATAAATAAAACACAGTCCCTGCCCTTAAGGAGTGAACACTTTAGTAGAAAAGATGAGCTGGAACACAAATGATATGTATTATAGTAAAGAAATGTACTATAGTAGAAGCATGTACTATAGTTGAGGAAAGTAGAAATGTAATAACTAAAGAGAGAGACAGTACTAGCAAAGTTAAGGAGGTGTAGTATACCATGAGACATATCGTGGCCATAAGATTAGTGATCGCCATAAGGCCCACTCAAGCCTCTGAAAGGACTGATACATGTCACTTAGCAACATAATACAATCTGGCCCTGGAGATTTTCGACCCTGTCCCAGGGACTTCCAGGAGATAAGGCCACTTCAGCACAGATGCAACTTTCATGAACCTTTATAACAAAGCTTACCCTTACACAAATAGCTTAAAACTCCCTTTATGAAAGGACACCTGGTAACTAATACTGAACTAATAAAGGTATAATAAAGGGGGAAGGATCCCCCAACTCTGACAGCGGTCTTTGGATGGAGACTCTCCCAGTTAGTCGGTCATCTGACTTCCTGACTGTATCTGGCCCATGCCAGCAGCTTCCTCCCAATATGTGTCTTATAAGATCTCTGCCAGAATAAACTATTTGAGCATCAGAAGGTGTCTAAGATTCATCTTTGACTTGATTGGAACCAAAGGGAATTAGTCATCCCTAGAAAAGCTAGTTAAACAGTACCACCCAAATCCCCAAACATGACAGAAGGCTTTGCAGTGAGTGTGACATTTGAACTGGACCTTTAAAGAGAGCCATGAATTTGTTAATCTGAGGAAACAGGAGAACTTCACAAGGGAGAATAAACAAGATCATGTAATTTCCTGCTTAAACCCAAAATATTTATAAGTATACTTAGAATAAAATCCAGATTCCCTGCTTTGGTTTTCAAAGCTCTACCTGGTCTGGCTGCTACTTACCTCTCCAGTTTCAGTCTCTGCCATTTTCCTCACCCTTGTGCCACATGATCACTGGTCTTCTTGATCTTCCTTCAACTCACCAGGTTTATTCTTCACTGTTTCAGGATAGGGATAGCTGTACCTATGCCTAGCTTTGAAGTAGGTCACTATTTCACAATTGGTACTTTTCCTAAGTGCTTGAATGTTTCAAAATGTCCTGAATCTACCCACTTTCAAAGCTGCCTCAGTACCTCATTATTTCTAACAGCTGCTTAACTTAGGCTAAAGTCTTTAGCCTAAGGCTAAATCTAAAAACATTTCTTGAAAGACTGAATAGCTTATAAAATCACTATTAAAATTAAGTGACAATTTTCCTTGAACTAAATTATGAGCTAAAAGCCATATTACATTTCAAAGTGAATATGTAAAACCTAAAAATATCCTTTAAAGTACAAAAATAAAGGTTATGAGAAGAAAACAAACAATTTTGCAAGTTCACTATTCTATTTATATATAGTAAAATTTGTGAAATTTTACAAAAAAAGAAAAATAATACTGCTACCTAACTCTTAAAGCCATTTTACAGTTTTGTAGTGCCTTGCTACTCAAATTGTGGTGGTGGATGAGCAGCTTCACCATCGCACAGGACCTTGTTAAAAATTCAGAATCTCAGGGCCTACCCCAGACTTTCTGAATCACAATCTTCATTTCATCAAGATTCCCCACATGATTTGCATGGCGTGTAAGGGAAAATGCATTTGTATAGTGTGAACTAAAATAAAATTTTAAGGCTCACCCCCCCGACCGGCTGACTAAACGGACCCTCTCGTGGCCAAAGGAATATCCTAAAACTAAATTGCTGCCAGGAGGAAGGAGGTCAGACATGCCTTATCATGCCCCCCTCCCTTCTTGGTGACATCCTTCACCATTAACAGGCCTAAGAATATGCAAGACAAACCTGCAGGTCCTCAATTTACACAACAAATCAATGTCCAGTGGCTTATCTCTGATAAACAGCTCCTTATGTTGAAACATTCCAAGCCTTTAGACAAAGCTTCATGTCTTTAACCAATTACAGGCCAAAGAATCTTTTAACCCACCTACAACCTATAAGCCCCCGCTTCGAGATGGCCCACCTTTTCGGGCCAAACCAATGTATGCCTCCTACGTATTGATTTATGACTTTACCTGTAACCCCTGTCTCCCTAAAATGTATAAAACCAACTGTAACCCAAGCTCTGCGAGTCCACTGCTCAAGACCTCTTGGGCATGGCTCTGGGTCATGGTCCTCAAATTGGGCTCAGAGTAAATTTCTTTAAAACTATTTTACAGAGTTTGGTCTTTTTTTCCGTTGACAATAGGCAACAGGTTTGTTAGGCCAAACTAAGATGAATGCCGCAGTGTTATTTCTGTCCCGCTCCCCTCCAATCCCTGTCTAGCTGGCCTTCCAGGGAGGCATGAGTCAGCATACTTATGTAACCAAGGTGTTATCTCCTGTGTGAACCCATGTGATCATGCTTTCCCATGGCATGTTGCCACTATTGTTCAGAGCCATACGTAAGCCCTCGCCAGGTTCTCGGCCATGCTTTTCGCCACTGCAGTATCCCCCACTCCCACAATAAAGAGCATGTCTCACTTACTTGCTGCCACTCACCTTTTCTTCCGTTTCCAAAGCCTGCGCCAGAGCGCACGCTAGGCACAGAGCTTCCTCCTCACAATGCACATTAAAGTTTAAGAAACTGCCTTAGTGGCTATGTGAGCATGGGAAACATTGTGGGCTAGAATAGTGCTTGAAAGGAAAATGAATCAATACCTTTTGTAAAAGAATAGTGGAAGTTCTGAATCACTGAGTCTATGCTGAATAGACTGCTTACCTCCTTGTCTGCTGATACCTGTATGTGGATGCCCCACAAGGACTTCAGGTTCCCATGTCTACAACTGATTTCAGCATCTTTTCCCTCATAACTCTTTTCCTTTATTCCCTATTGTGGTAATGACACCATCATCTACCCAGTTGCTCACTGTATACAAATCCCAGCCTCACCAATTTACGGAGTGACTTAATCCAAGTAACTTGGTTTTCTCTGTCTGATATTCATTCATTCAATAAATAAATAGTCACCAGGCACAAACTTTGTGTCAGGCACTGTCCTAGGTATTAGGAATAAAGTGATAAAACAGAAAAGGCCCTTCAGCTCATGGAACACACAAAATAAAATTTCAGTTTTAAACAAGAATGGTCACCACAGCTGAGCTCAGTAGACTGTAGAGAATGCATCAGTGCCAATCAACGTGAAGGGTAG